TATATATATATATATATATATATATATATATATATATATATATATAAGGCTTTAGAAACCCTTCCCACACTCTTGCAATATTCTAAACTCTTAAACTTGTGTTATTTTAACAACATACATATCTGTAGCTACTAAATATTACTTACCAGTGTGTCCCCTCTCAGAGATCATCGTTGGCCGGTTGAAAAACATGAAAAACGTACCATAGAGCATCTAATGGACCACTGGATCATCGGATGCACGCATCCACTCGGAGGTCCATGTAGGCGGGCTACCAGCTCTCAAGATGCACCCATAGGTCGGGAAGTCTGGTTCCACTCCATTTCTGGTCTGGTTCAGTGGGTTCAGTGTAGCTTCTCTGCATCTGCTGGGCACCGATCAGATCAAAACTTTACCTCTGTTTTTTTTTTTTCAACAGAAGGAAACCGGGCTTCTGGGCGGGGCCCTGTTGCCTTCTGGGAAATGTGGTCATTATGAGCAGGAAGAGTGGAGGCTTACTGAGAGAAAACTACAAAATGGCAGCGCCTGTACTGTCCCAATCACGAGTTATATTAAAGTTGACAATCATGTATCCTGTACAATTTTTTTTTTTTTTTTGTGCTGTACGTTCACAAACCGCGATAGAACGAGTCCACGAAAGTCAAAGCGAAGGACTACTGTAACTCATTTAATTTTACAGATATTGAGCTAATGTTTATGTGGTAGTAGCTAAGAGTCATCCCCTTAATTTATTCTGAAAGCTAAAACATCTTATGTTACTTTGCAATACTGGATGAGACCAAAACAGCTGTACCTCCATTTCTTCTCAGTACAAAATGTCTAAAACTCCAACATGAATGGTGGCGTGCGATATGCACTCCTTTGTTTTAGACCTTTATTTGCACGCCAGCACATTCTAATGGTTTCCTTTCTTTAATCTTCTTATCCTCAGGTGGAGTCCAATCCCTTCCCCTTCAACTACGTGTCCAACTACGCTGTCTCCACTGAGGTAGCATCCATGGAGTTTCGCACAGAAAACGGCACCCACATCCCGATCTCTGGACTCGACGACAGCATGGCCATCACTGTTGCCGTTAACAACGGCAGCTGTGGCGAAGCGGGCGCTGAGAGTTCTGGTTCCGGTGGAGTCCCCATGGCCACAGCGGTTAACATCAGCCGCTGTGACTCTGTGATCCTCCGTGTCAGCACAGGAAACAGCAACAAGCAGGCCGGGCTCTTCGTGTGGCTTAATTTCACCTCTGTAGAAGGTAAGCACACACACAACAACTTCAACATATTCACTGATTTAGTTTTCACTGTTTTTGTTTGTTACATTGATTTTTGTTGGTTTAAAATATAAAAGCTTTAGTTTCCTTTCCCCGTTTATTACTTGAAACTTTGTATTGACAGAACTGTCATTATGTTTCCAAGCCATTTTAAAAAATGTTTTTTTCAGCAGTAAATTAATCAAAAACATATACCTGATAGGAACTGATGGCAGAGATGGTAGATAATTATGTACCTCTCCAGCTTTTGTTGCCTTCATTAAGGTCACAGTTCGAATTTTGAGCAGTTTTGCAGTTTTATAACTGCAATAAATGTGAAAAGTTATTTTAGTTATAATCATTATAGATGACTGAGCTCCCTCAGCTCCATTTGTGAACCAAAAAACATACTGGATTGGTCGTTGGGTAGCTCCTGTAAAAGTGCCTCGTTTCCTGTCTGAATTAACTTTTTAACTTGTGTTTGTATTTATGTGTTTCTTCTTGTGCTGAATGTTTTCATTAATCTCCCCTTTTTTACACGCCTGTTGCAAGGCGGATTTATTGTTTTTGTCCGTCCGTAAACTTTCTCTTGTCCCACCCATAACTTCTGATCTGCTCAAGATAATTTCACTTCATGCACATATGTATCATCACTTAATGGAGTGTCACGCACACTTTTCAGTACCCCAGCTTTAAGGTCAAGGTCACAAATCAAGGTCAGAAATGATACATGGTCTTGGCTTTTCTGATCCATTGCTACAGATTGCTGTATACAGTAAGTAGTCCCTCAATACTTCAAGGCTCAACTTTCGCGGACTCACTCTTTCTGGGGTTTTTAACGTAAGATTGTACACAACAAACGTTTGGCAATGGGGATAGACAGACCCCCACCTCCCGCCTCCTTCTTTCTCTTTCTGAGGCTGTCTGTCTGTCTGCTCGCTCTGCTGTGACAGACAGCCTCAGGAAGAGAAAGAAGGGGGCGTGATAGGGTCTGTCTTTTCCCATCACTACTACACAGGGAGCAGAGAGACAGTGGCTGAGTGCGGCTCACTCAGGTAAAAGACAGACCCCCCCCCCCCCCCACACACACACACACACACACACACCCTCCTTTCTCTTTCTGAGGCAGCAGACAGCAGAGCAGAGACATACAACAGACAGCCTCGGAAAAAGAAAGGAGGGGCTGTCTTATATCTGAGTGAGCTGCATGAGCAGCATGGATTGTTTATTTAAAATAATCAAGGGCAACCCAAACCGAGCCTTTAGTCCCCCCTTGTTTAGAGAGTTTAGAGCATTGTTAAGAACATTGCGAGAGTGTGGGAAGGGTTTATAAAGCCTCAAAATATATATAAATACTAAAATAAATATAACGTCCCTACTTCACGGATTTTCACCTATCAAGTGGAACGTAACCCCCGCAATAAATGAGGGACTACTGTAATAGTTTGTCGACGGACGTATAATGTATTGTATGCAGTACACTTGTGTTCCCTTTCTCTGGTCATGTTTGATTTATTTTTTCAATCAGATGCAAGTGAGAAGGATAAAAGAGAAAATGTCAAGGAGGAGCCGTATGTGACCACCTTCCTTCATTCCCACGAGCAACCCAACGAGTTCAACTGCACAGACAGAAAGAGGATCACGCTCAGTATGACCAGAGGGCAAGACCACAAAAAATACAGCTTCTTCCTGTCACCAGAGTAAGAACCCTGTTAATTCACTGAACTGCAATTGTAATTTCATATTGAGGTGGGTTTTTTTTGTTTTTTTGTTCTCATAATTGTTTATCTTTTTTTCTTGGTGTAGCTTCTTTCTTTACACAAAGTCAAAAATCAGGGGAAAAAAATCCATTAATCAATTTTAATTTAATGTTATTTGTGTTGTGCCAATTCACAACAGAATTCAAATAAGACACCTGACAAAAAAGAGAGAAAACAGCTACAAAAATGTAAAATGATCGTTCAGCTGCTTTTTTCTTAACCCAGGGTAAAAAAAGTGAATATAAGACCAAAGTTCTGTGTTCTGAATTAGAAAACTGCTAATTTTATCATGCAAACTGATACAACGTGCATGTTTTTCAAATAAAACAAACCTGACTGCATCTTTCTTGACAACTGGATTCATGCAAGAAAATCTTTTTAGCTTCAGCTATCTGCTTTTTGACTAAATGTTCATTTTTGCACCATCCAGCAGTAGCTACCATACTTTTCGGACTATAAGTTGCATCTTTTTGCATAAATTAGCAAGTCCAGCCCCTTATAGTCCGAAGTGACTTAGATATTTCCCATATTTATAAACCAATTTTTGGCTGAGATTTGATGATTTCATTCATTCTGACATGGAAAATATTGAACACTACCATTTTCAGCCACTAGAGGGCCCTCAAGCATTATGGCAAGCCAAGTGTCTCATTAATAGGTAAAAGTGGCTATTAATGAGACATGTGGCTTGCCATTCAAAGCCACCTTTGTCTCGCTACGGGACTGGAGCAAATGTCAAGTCAGCTGCATTTCGCTGCGCCACCCAGGCAAAATGCAGCTGATTTGACCATTAAAGTGCATTTATTAAGGAAAAGTTCAACTGAGACACACCTTTGCTATAATGTTAAGCAAACAAATGATTGTTTTTAGGTGGTTATCTTGTTAAATTTTTGTAGAAATGCACAGCGAGTCCTCCCTCTGCGCGCTCCTGCAGCCGCAAATCAGCTTTTGAAATGCAACTGATTTGACCGTCAAAGTGCATTTATTAAGGAAAAATTAAATTGAGACACACCTTTACTATAATGTTGAGCAAACAAATAATTGTTTTAAGTGTTAATCTTGTTAAATTCTTGTTAAAGTTTTCCTGTGAATGCTCCGTGGCCACCATTTGGCAGCCAAACAATTTTTGGCACAACACCGGCCCGCGTTTCCGGGTGGTCCGCTATGATGCATAACAACATGCATCAGCGGTGACGCATAACAAACGCGATGCATCAGCGGTGATGCATGATAGATGCGACTTATATGGTGGTGCAAATTTTAAGGCGGAAATTACAGTACTCCTTTTCCCACAATTCTGATCGGACTGAATAAATTCTTGTGTAAGAGAGAAATGCTTCCCACAGAATCCTTTTCATAAACCAGATAAGGTTGAGGTATTTGTTACAGTAAAACCTGGAAAGTACGCCAAGCTCTTTAGTTTAAAAAGAAATCTTGGGTTGCAGTCACACCATAAATCAATCACTTGATATTTTGTTTGACATTGAGCCGAAATAATCTCTTCTAAAAGGTATTAATGGGCCAGAGGCTTAAGTTGAGCCGGATCCTGCCGGAACAGATCCAGAAACTCTTATTTTGACAGAGTGTGTTCCAGTAACTGTTTGTTTGGATCCGGTAACTCTCAGGCTTACTAATAATAAAGTTAGGAACAAATATGACTGCCTTGAACGAATAAAACTTATATTGGATATATAAACTGAAAATAATTACATAAACACTCATTTTAAACACAACAGCCACTTATTCGAGCTTCCCCTTCAAGTAGTATTTCCGCATATACCCTTAAAAAAATATTCGCCCCAAAAAGATTGGTGGGGGTGAGTGCCGAGCTCATCAGGCGGGCAGGAGCCCAGTCTGAGAAGGCGCATGGAGGTTTCACATGCCGAGTCGGACAACAACGAGCAGCGACAGTGTCGGGCTCTGAACCATCAAGTAAGGAGGGGTGGGGGGAGGATGCTTGACTGAAGTGAAGTGTTTACAAATATATGTAAATGTAGGTGTTTAACAACCCGTTAAAATGCACTAAAATACAGGAAATCGCATCTACTTTATTCAAAATTTTCTGAGGGAGGACCCCCAGACCGCCCCCCTGTCCACTATTTACATTCTTACATCAATCGGTTTACAAATTAAGCCTTGGCCAGAGGTCCACAATCATGGTACAGTTTGTGCCAAACATGGTCAAAACTTGCAACAATATAAAAAGGACTGTACAGAAAAGTCCTTAAACAGGTCAAACTTCAAGGCATTAATCATTTTTATATTCTTTGTATTGTTTTTGTCCGAATCTGCTGTTTGAGCAAACTGCGATTTCTGTCTTGTGCTACACAGGTTCTACGACACCACTCTGGATTATTTTGTCAACGTAAGTACACCCTGCAGCCCTGAAACTCAGCCTGCGGTGTTTCGCCTGGAGGCGAGGGTGTTCGCCTCCTTGTGCCAGTACTTCAGTGAGGCAGAGAAGCAGTGGAAGACAGACGGCATGGTTCCCCTCGTGGAGACCACCTTCAGCAGAGCCGTTTGCCGCACCAGGCACCTCACGGCATTCGCTGCAGGACTGTTTGTACCAACCAATGCCATCAGCTTCAAACTGCCAGTCAGTATCTTACTAATAAATCACCTTCTTTCATCCCACGCACCACTTGCACACGTTCTTTACTGTTTGCACTCCTTCCATAGGAGCGTTCAGGTGCACCGAGTCTGATCGTGCTGTTGGTGTGCATATTGGGCTTGCTAAGCTATGTTGTGGCGGCAGCCATCTTACATAAGTTGGACCAGTTGGATCTTCGCCGAGCTGCCGTGATTCCACTCTGCGGCCAGAATGGATGCTTCAAGTACGAGATCCAAGTGAAAACTGGGTGGAATCGAGGGGCAGGTGAGACATGATATACAGTATAATAATGAATATCTCAACTCTATCCTCTGTTTTTAGAAACTAAAATATTTATCTTAAGTTAGTCTCTGAAGTCTTTTTTAAACTTTCTGTTTGTTCAGGCACAACGGCTCATGTCGGAATCAGTTTGTATGGACGAGAGAGCCGCAGCGGACACCGTCACCTTGACAGCAAAGGAGCTTTCACACGCAACGCTCTTGACATCTTTCAGATCGCCACAGATACTAGCCTGGGGAGTATATGGAAAATCCGGATATGGCACGACAATAAAGGTGAAGGCGTGCATCCAAAAAACAAGTGACTACAAAGAGTTGAAGCGCTTTAATGAATCTCGTAATGTTTCTTGACGAAGGTCTGTCCCCAGCATGGATGCTGCAGTATGTGTTGGTCAAAGACCTGCAGACTGAAAGCAGCTACTACTTCCTGGTTGAGGAGTGGCTGTCTGTTGATAATGAGAGAACTGGTGGACGGGTGGAGTTTGAAGTGGAGGCAACAGGTAAGGTTTCAAATGTCTAATGGTTGCTGGATGACGTCACATTCTTTGATACGTCACATTCTTTCTGTTTTGCTCAGAAGAGGCATTGCTTCGTCGGCTGCCTCGCCTCCTGTGGTGTGAGCTGCAGAGGTCGCTGTGTGAGAGTCACATGTGGCTGTCGCTGTGGGAGAGGCCCCCCCGCAGCCCCTTCACCCGCCTGCAGAGAGCCACATGCTGTGCTGTGTTACTGCAGTTTGTCGTGTTGGCCAACACTCTGTGGTACAGCATTGTGGCGGACAAGAGATACAGGTACCTGTCTTTTGTTCTGTTCAGGCCTGGTTCTAATCGTGCGCACTGATGGAAAATAAACAGCTGGAAGAGCAAGTGTTCCCACCTGGCAGTGAAATTTGTCCTGCGTGTTCATCTATGTGCAAACTAACGCATCACAGTCAGATGTGTCTGAGCAACAAACAGGCCGGTACTGATGTTTCTATAAAATCACAAAAACAATCGCACGAATGATGACGTTATTCAGAAATAAACTTTCAGATTTTTGTTTCCCGTTGTAGAGCAAAGTGGGGGAATTGGAAATACCCTTCGTCTGTCCAGCCACGCATGTTGTGAGCATGATAATTTGAAATATAAGTGAAATACCGACTTCCATTTCGGTGTGTGGCTGTATCTAGGTGTAAAAAAGGTTCCTATCAAAAATTGGGTTGCCGCCTCAAAATCCAAGATGGCCACCACCATATGTATATGTATGTATACAGTATGGGCCACCCCAATCTTTTGAGAAAACCATGCTTTTTAGGTTTTATATTGCGTAAAAGTATAGTTCCCTCAAATGACTGGTGTGGTCGAAGATAAATGTATGGTGACCAAAACCACCACTGGCCACCCCCTGGCTCCACCACTGCTCCTGGTGTTGGATAAAGTTGCTCCCTTCGCCCTCTAGGATCCATCACTCCATCCCTGTTCTCCACAGTGTAACTTCTACCCACTAGAATATGTTGCACCAAAAACTTTAAGGTGTACTGTTCACTTCACTTTCAGTCCAGAAAAACTCTCATTTCAAAAACTACAAACATTCACTGTTCAGTTCCCTCAGTGACATAGTTACATCGGCGTACCGCTTGTTTCCATTACTTACTTTGCAGAGTAAATTACAACAATTTGGATAAGTTGAGTTATGTAACCTAACAGATTTGATTTTTGGAGAAAGAAAGGAGCATAAATAAATGTCATTTCACAGAGTTTAGTTTTAATGCAACTCCAATAACGACAGTGACGATTTAAACTCTTTAAACGTTGGCGTCTCACTCATAGGCTTGCAGCTGTTTCTCTACACAACTTCTCTGTGTGCACAAGTCCTGCATTAACATGAGAGCACCATATTGTAAAGCTCAAATTCTTGTATTATGATGGACAGAAAGCATTTCGTGGTGAAGGTGAGACAGTGCGAACAATCAGCTACAACAATCAAACTAAATATGGGGCTACTGTGTAGAAAACTCATCTATAAAGCCTCCTGGTACTCCATATTTCATCAAGTCTTGAAAATGTTTGGTCCCTCAAAATAGAATTTGCTAAAAATGTTGTGATTTCACTTCATTTTAAATTGGCCAAGAGCTCTATTTAATTGTAGCAAAGGTTTTTACAGTGGGTTTCTTTTTATGGTTGTGGTTAGAGTTGGTTTAAGTTTGAAACTAATAGAGTCAATAAAGATCCAGGTGTTCAGGATGCTGCTTGTGCAGAATCTGGTGATCATTCAGTATGTCTCAGGTTAGATCCCAGACCACCTCTGATTGTATCTTCATTCTGACATAATCTGTCCTTTTTGTCTGTTTTCTTTGTGTTTCTCTTGTCTTTATTTCCTTTCCTGATCCTTGCGTTCGACTCTGTTCCTAGTGTGTGTCTCCCTCTTGTGGTCTGTTCCAGCTGTTGCTCCCTCATGTAATTAGCTTCTGCCATCGCCTGTTGTCTCTCCCAGCTGTTTGTCATTTGTCTGTCATTAATGTATGTATATAAGTCTGCGTCTCCTGGGCTTTGTCTCATGAAGACTCCCTGTTCCTGTTCTGCACCAGGTCCTGGTTTTGTCTCTCTTAGTGTCCTCTCATGCTTCATGTGTTGTGAAAAACCTGTTTAACAAATGCTGGAAACACGTGAAATAAACAGTTTTTCCACAACAATTTGGCGTCACGAATAGGAATAGTAAATTGTTGCTGCCACGTCAACCGTCTTTGTTTATTTTTATTAAATTACTTTTACTTTAAACTTGAGTCCTCCATGTCCTCCCTGCATTTCGGGTTCAACCACCACCAGACCGTTACAGTCAGTGATACTACACCTTAACTTGAGATCAGATTGCCTGGAGTGTATGTTAGAGCCATGTCTTTGTGTCCACCTGCCAACCTGCAGTGGTTTGTGTTTCATGTTTATATGTGGTAAATTGTCTTGCAGCCCGAGGGCCGTGTCAAGGTTTTCCTCACTAAACGGAGAGACGGTAGCAGCAGGAGTGGTCACCTGTCTGATCGTCTACCCGCTCTACCTTTTCGTCTTCACAATATTCAGAATGAGCCGCAGTAAGGTAGTGCCTCACAACCCCGCTTAAAACTAATGCACAGCCGAAGTTCTGCTTCCTCCACGAAGCCGGATCAAAAAGTGAATATTTTGCTCTTGTGTGTTTGCGGCCGTCAGTCTGTGACGGTGCAGCAGGTGCCGCCGCGAGTGGATCAGGAGTCAGTGGAGATCGATGACTTCCTGGACAACTCTACCGGAGGAAGTTCTTTCCTGTCCTTCACTGAAGAGGTAGAAGCTTTTGGAAACAGATGTGTATATTTGTGTGCAAAGATTCATCAGACTCTTTGTTTCTCAGACCAACTCGGAGGAAACGAATGTGGATTTGCCGTCTCCGTCCATCAACAGGTGTGTAGTTTTCTGATCAGGATAAGAATGAATAAATTCAACAAATAAAGAGGGCACGATGTACAGAATTAGTTTTGCCACTAAATATTTCTAAACTTGAAAGGAATCGTTTGTTCAAGGGTGTTTGAGTGCGATTCTTGAGAAGAAACTGTGAGTGCTGAACACCAAACATCTCTGTGCAATGCAGCGAGGACAGTTTGGACACGGAGGACGACGAGACGGACGACAGGGACTGGCCGGAGCTGTTGAGTGACGAGTTTGTGACTGGAGGAGCGGGACCCGGGGCCAGGGTGCCCAAACTGAAGAGGCGTCAAGGGAGTCGGCACCTGGGTGTGGAGATGACCTTCAACCCCAAGGAGGAAGAGGACACTGATCAGCGTATCAAACATTTCACCTCATCCGGTAACTAAAAAATGAAAGGCTGGACTCGTCGAGGGGCTGCGTTTTTTTTAACAGGATTCAGTTTGCTTAATTAAAGCAATCAAATGGTTCTATAAAAAGATTAATATATTTATAACAAACATATTTAGAAGTTACCTTCTGGTGAAAAGAGGCACCATTTAGCCAAGACGGTCACTAACTTCACAAATAAAACCTTTTTGTCCGATTGGCTCGAGATTTCCTTATTTATTTATTTTTTAATTAGTTTTTCTGTTTGGAGTTTCACTGAGAGCTACTTCTAATCTGCTCATGTTTTATTTTGATCCTATTGCTCACATTAGATGTTGGAACGTCAAAAAAAGACTGAACTGCACATTTTAAGATCGACTGAATTAACTTCCTGTAAAATACGTAAACGCGTCTTTTTATAGAGCTAAAGTAGATTTGATCAAAGTTTTGTTTCACTTTTCTCTGGTTACATTGTCTCGTGTGGAGGCGCAGAGGTTAGAGAAGGTGAGCCTGTGATTGGAAGGTCGCTGGTCGACTCCTCCACCCACATTTGCCCCACTCTGGGCCCTTGAGCAAGGCTCTTAACCCCCACCATCTGCTCCCCTGGGCGTCCTTGATGGCAGCTCTCTGCTCCACACAGAGCGCTGTGGTAGCTCGGTGCTCTGTGGTTGTGTCAGGAAGGACATCCAGCGTAAAAACAACTGCCAAATCTTAGTTCAAGATAGTTTGCTGTGTCGACCCCTGATGAAGGGAGCAGCCGAAAGAAGAAAACAAATTGTCTCACATTATAAAAGATTTGTATTTCTGATTATAACTTCAGTTTGTTGCATCACAGCTGCATATTTTGGTATAAAAAAGTCCCAATTTTTTCACAGCACAATATTTAAGATTTGAATTCCTTGATTTTAAAACTGAAGAAGTGACGTATTTGTTTTTGTTTTTCTGGCAGATGAGGATCTTATTAAACACATACTAACAGATGGACAGAACTTCTTTCCTCAGGCGGATGAGAGCGAGATGGTCGACCTGTAAGTTCCAATAATTTCATACATTTCACCAGTCACCTGGACTGGGGGTTTGTTTCAGTTCATGTTTTTATGTCCTGTGCTTTAGCGCGAGTATTTTTGGAGACAAAACGGAAGTGATTCTCCTTCAGAAGCTGAACGAACCTCATCCTCTGGAGTCTGTCAGAAGGGATCCACCAAAAACAGCTTTTACATCAAACACAGGTGTGTGTGTGTAAAACCGTAGGAAACTCTGTGTTTCAGAAATTATTTAGGATCTCTCATTCCTTAAAGGTTGCATATTGCCGGCCACCTTTCATGCCAGTTTTAAATTGAGATTGTCTTGTGTTGGGTAAATGACAAAGTTGTAGCAGTTTCAGCTAAACTTCAAAAACATCATGTCCCAACTTGTGCAATACTCAGACTAAATTTAAGCTCAATGTGTAAAACTGATTCAGTTATTCCTATATATTTTTTTTGCATTTACGTTTGATTAGCTGTGGCAGACATTTTAAATTGGGTTGACTTCTAAAAAAAAAAAACAAGTTGTAAATATACACTGATTACTTTTTGAATGTTTTATTGACGTGTGCAGTTTATGAGATACTTTGCGAACAGACAAACGGGGGCTGACTCCAGCAGCTAAAGTTAAAGTTTTCAGCAAATGTCTGAGTTGCACTTGGAGTACGTGATGTGAATTATTCCGAGCTGCACGTCAAATTTTAGCACAATAACTGTAAGACTGACTAAATCAGGACTTTTCATTTGGCTGTAGTGGCCATCTTAAACTGTATTGACGCCAAACTTTCATTAGTTGTAGATACACGTCCAATAATTGTTTCATTGCAATGCATTCAGCGGTCCTTAAGATATTTTGCTAACAGGCAGACAAAGTTGACTAAATAGATAACTGGAAAGTTCCTGGAGAAACTTTGACAGGGACTGCCATGTGGCGGCCGTTTTAAAATTTTTATTTACTATGTGTTCGGTTCGCTCTTGGCTACCACGGTACCAAATTTCAACTCATCATGGCAAATAAAAAAAATTAAAAATCAATGAGTTATAGTCATTTTTTTCTTTTACGCCATGGTAGCCATTTTGGATTTTTGATTTGGATTCAGTATATGATGGGGAACGTTCTCAACTATGACCACACCACATCAGCTGCATATGTATAAAAATTGTTGTGTTAAAGCCATTTAAATGTAGCTTTGGTAGCCATTTTGGATTTTTTTAATTGAAGTCAGTATTTATTGTGCATTGCTCTCAGCTACCAGCACACCAAATTTCAGCTTAATATCTCTAAAACAGCTAATTTATAGTATTTTTTCCTTTTTAGCTTAGGCAGCCATCTTGGATTTTTGATTTGCAATCTAGTGGGGATCTCAGCTGTCAATACACCAAATTTCAGCCAAATAGCTCTAAAAACACGAGTTAAACCATTTGACGTTGGCTTTGGTGGCCATCTTGCATTTTTAGATTTGAATTCAGAATGTGTTGTGTATCACTCTCAGCTACAACCTTACCAAATTTCAGCTCAATACAGTAGTCCCTCGCTACTTCACGGTTCGTTTATCGCGGACTCGCTCTATCACAGTTTTTCAAAATAAAACTAGACATGACACAGATGGTTGATTGACGGATGAGCCGCAAGATCTGCATGGAATTTTTATTTAAAATAAATTATTTAAAATTATTTAGCACCTGATGCACCTTCGTGCAGCCCATACTGCAGAATAAGCTTCCTCCTCCAGCTGATCAGCTGTTCTCCGTGCAGCGCGGAGAAGTGGGCGTGGCCAAGAGCGCTTGCAGGTGGCAAAGAGCAGCAGAGGCAGGGAGCTGAAGTCATGACTTTTTGTGCCTTTAAATATATATGTTCATAAATATATTTATATATATATATATATATATATATATATATATATACTAAAATAAACTACTACTTACTGCTTGTGCTACTATTCCAACTTCGCGGTTTTTCCCTTATCACGGGGGCTTCAGGGTACGGATCCCCCGTGATAATAACGAGGGACTTCTGTATCTCAGTGAATGACTGATTTGCAGCCAATTGAGCGTTTTATGAGGTAGCTGTGGCAGCCATCTTGAATCAAAGTGGCTCCAAAAGTTCATCAGTGTTTTGTTCAGAGACCTCTCCACTTCAGACAGTCCACAGTGAACCACACGACGTATTGTTCAATCCAGCTCAAGGTCTGTGTTGTAAATTGTGCAGCTCCTGATGTGAAATAGTCTCAAAAGAGAACATCACTGGATGATTTGATGTTCCGGAAGTTGGGAATTTAATTGGCACTGATTGTTTTTTTCTTTCTGCCACATGAATTGCTGTTGCACTCTTTCTCTGCACACTTTGTTCTTTGGCTTGATAAGTGACTCAGGGGAACGTGAGTCAGCGGGTCGACTAATTAAACTTTGATTCATGGTCTTTGTTTGACAAAAAGTAAAGTTTAATGACGGCGGTTAAAGAAAGATGAGTCATCCGATTGTTGTTTTCCAATAATACGATTTGTCCTAGCAGCCCAATGACAGCTTTGATTGTACTTCTTAGTGTGAGGTGTGTTTTTACATTTGAACTTGAGCAAAAACAAATGGCATATCAGAGGTTATACGTTGAAGGTTTGAGAATGAAAATAATTTATTTTTAAGCATGCATTTTTACCGATAGTTGTCCTATTTTGCGTATCTGTCAATCGTGTCTGTTAGCAAAATATCTCCAGAATCACTGAGTGTATTATAATGAATCATTCAGGAAATAATCATCAGGTGAACATCTTCAACTGTTTAACTTTTTGAGTCAGCCCCGTCCAAGATGTCCGCCACAGCCAACTGAGAGTAGAAAACACGAGCATGGCTATAGCGCCAAAAGTTTTACAGATGTTGAGGTAAAATTTGGTGTTTGTAGCCGAGTCAATTACAACACATACTCGAAGTGCTACTCATTGCACAAGTTTTTTTTTAATGTCACCATTAACTGTCTGTCACATTTGTCTGTTAGCAAAATATTTAATGAATTACTGAATGGATTTTAATGAAACGTTCAGATAGATATAAATAAACTGACATGTACAACTGAATAACTTCTGTAGTCAATTCAACTCAACTAACCAAACTTAGCCATCACTAAATTACTATAACAGCAAATGCTACAGATATAGAGCTACAATTTGGTGTGGTAGTAGTTGAGCATCTGTTAGCAAAATATACCAGGCTGCTGATCATAAACCAGTGATTCTTCCTTGAAGACATTTGAACTCATGCTGTAAAAAGAATATTAACTGAACGTTTTTGTCATTTTCCATTTTTCTGTCCCCAGTTGTGACAGATGTGTGCCGACCCAGACGGTTCCCTCCGTGGTGCGGGCGCGCTGCCCTGTGGGCCAGCTGGCTCGGGATCGGACTGGCCTGCTGTGTCTCTGTTTGGGCGGGTCGAGGGTTCAGTAACACCGTGGCCATGATGTGGTTAATCTCCTGTGCTGCGAGTTTCTTCTGCTCCTGTTTGCTGTTGGAGCCAATCAAGGTGAGACGACAAACCTTTATTCTCCTTGTCAGCAGTCGCTATGGTAACATCACCTTGCGTAGTTTCTTTAAATTCAATTTAAGACTTTATTATTACTTTCGGTGGTCAGTCAGTTTTACAAATACTGAGCTCAGATTTTGCGTGATAGTAGCTGAGAGTCATTCAAAGCATATACTCTGGGATACTGCATGATATGCACATGATGTTATTTTTCAAAAACAAAAACAGCACCTTCTGTTTGTAAGACTGAGCTTGTTACAAGAGCTCAGACTGAAGAAGTCTTCTGGATAAAAGTCGAAACGTTTCAACAAGCAAGAATCCGTCCAGAGGTCCTGACTTAACCTTGTTACATTTTTCTACCTGGATTATTGAGCATGCATCAGGAGATCATGTTTGGAAGTTCTGACCCATATATCGTGCATATCAGCTTAAAGACAAATACCAAATATAACGTTGTCATACATTATAACTTTTTAGCCTCGACTCCTTGTGTTTTAATTTCCACTGCAACCTACAGTATGTACATCATTGCACCAGAATGCATTGTGCTGGTAAATTAATCATGACGTCCTTAAGTAAAAAGTTTGTGTGTGTGTGTATATATAGAGAGAGATGCAGTATAGAGATAGATATAGATATATAGAAAGATATAGATATAGTTGTCCCTCGATACTTTGCGCTTTGACTTTCACGGACTCACGCTTTGCGGGTTTTCAACGTAAGATTCACTTTGTTTCCCGGTGGCCTGGCCGCTCAGTGATCGCCGAGGGGCCCCCTCCTTTCTCTTTCTGAGGCTGTCAGCCTCAGAAAAAGAAAGGTGGGGGGCAAGGGCTGTCTTTCCCCATTGCTACTGTGGGAGCTTCAGTGAGGCGGATCCCAGAGTGAGGCATGGTTTATTTAAAATAATCAAGCGCGACCCAAACTGACCCTTCATCCGAACCGAGCTGACTCGTGCCGGGACATTTCGGTAAATGTCTCGGTGCTCCTGATGGCCAGTCTGCCCCCTGGGCGTGGATTGGCTCAGTAACCGTATCATCATTCTGTTTCGCTGTGCTCTTTTAGAGCGTTTAGAGAGTTTAGAACATTAAGAACATTGCAAGAGTGTGGGAATGGTTTATAAAGCCTTAAAATATTTATAAATACTAAAATAAATATAATGTCTCTACTTCACGGATTTTCACCTATCGCGGCCCTGCGATAACTATATATATTTATATAGTAATTAGACATTTTCACAAGTCACAAACAACAACTTCTAGTAGAAAAGGACATTAGCACATTTAGGCCGACATGTGCAAGTAGTCAGAGATCCCTCTAAAGCGTTTTTCTTCTCGCTCCGTACAGGTGATGTGTGAGGCGGTTTACTTTGCCGTCTGTGTGCGTCGGCTGCGTCCGGAGGATCAGGACATGCTGGTGGAGGGCTCCCGAGTGGAGCAGGTGGTCCAGCGGGTCACCAGGGTGAGACCACCTCAGGGCTTCGCTCTGTCTCGGGCCCGACAGCAGGCCCGTAAGGTCCACATGCTGCACACGATGCTGAAGGTCAGCGCGGAACGCCGGCGTAAAACGACACGTCGTTCAAAGCTCAGTTTGTCGTTTTTGATGACAGGAAGTTTGTTTCTCTTTTTCCAGAACTTCCTGGTGTACACATTCTTCCTGCTGGTGGTTCTGCTTCTCAACTACTCGGACTCCTCCAAAGACGCTCACAGTTTTAGGCTGAGAACTCGACTACAACGGAGCCTTCTCACACCAGAGTACCGGACCATCAGCAGGTACCGATGATCACAGCCAAGCCTCGTTTATTTTCTCTGCCTCAAAATAAAAACTGTAAAAGGTTTTTTTTTTCTCCTGACTCTTTGATCAAGTCTAATCTTTTTAGTTCATGACTGACCTTGACGTGTTATTTTATTCACACCAGAAGAGAAAAGAATCGAGAAAAGTTTTTTTATGAGCTCATTGAACTCATATTAACTTGGACACAGTTTATTATAAAACCGGTTTAACATCTGTGTGCTTGTGTTTAAGCCGTGACGGCGTGCTGCTGTGGCTCAACGGGTCTCTGCTGCCGCGGCTGCTTGATGAGTCCGTTCTTTTGCGAGACACAGGAAGTGTTCTGCTCGGCTCGCTGAGGATTCGACAGAACCGACACACACAGGGTGGGTGTTCGACGTGGACACGTTCTCTCTGCCCCCACTTAACCAAGAGTTTAAGTTCGGCCTCAGTGTTTAGAAAGAGATTAAGGCCACTGTGTTAATAAGATTTTTATAATCATCTTTTTGAGGTGATGGTTTATTTTGCAGAAATATAGGGTGCATGCATATAAGCATACCCTTTATGCCCTCCGCCCAGGCTAAGAGGGTTTTTCCCATGTCGGTATATGTTTGTCTGTTAGCAAAAATTTTATAAACCATTGGTTGGAGTTTAATTAAACTTTCAGAGAGTAATCATTAGACGTACATCTAAAATAACTTTTGGAGTCAGCCCAATTCAAGATGTCTGCCACAGCCAACTGACCGTAGAAAACCCAGAAATAGCTCTGATTCAGTAAACTTTACAGTAATGGGCAGGAATTAGGGGTGAAGTAGCTGCGAGTGGTCTCTAACACATACAGCACTCAAATCTCTACAGGATGTGCGTTATTCTAGCCTAAAACTGTGGTTATACCTATTGCCGTCACCGCTGTCTGTTAGCAAAATATCTCATGAACCACTTGAAGAATTTTAATAAAATCTCCAGAAAGTGGTTTTTGAGATGATTTCTTCAACCAGTTAACTTTTTGAGTTAACCTACTTTAAAATGGCGACCACAGCTAATTATAATTATGGCTTTAATGCAATCGATCTTTGTGGTAGTAGCTGAGAGTCATTCCCAACACATACTCCAAGCATTAACAGTTTCTTGAAAGATTTTGCAGTATTTCATGTGATCAGGCATAAGAGCTGTTTACACGGTTTGACCACAACAGCTACATCTGAACAGACAATCCAGACACGGGCAGCTAAAGCAGCTGCAACACTTGGAATTAGTTCTAAACTCAGCAGAACCTGAAGGAACTTACTGAACTAAATTCAGTTCAATTTATTTATATAGTGTCAAATCATAACAGTTGTCTCAGAGCACTGTACAAAAACATTCACATGCATACAAAAAAAAAAATTAGTAAAGTTCTTTATCTAAGGAAACAGCAGATTGTGTTGAATCTTCACTTTGTCACAGTCTCCCATCCTGAGCAAGCACAAAGGAGACAGTGGAAAGGAAAAACTCCCTTTTAACAGGAAGAAACCTCCAGCAGAACCTGGTTGGGTTTGAGAGGACAGAAAGGAGGAACAAACGAACACAGAATGGTAGGTCCAGGTGTAGGTCCAGATGTAGGTCCAGATGTAGGTCCAGGTGTAGGTCCAGGTGTAGGTCCAGGTGTAGGTCTAG